GCATCATGTAAAAGCAAAAGAGCTTACTCCTTTCTAAAAGGCCGGCAACGCACTTGCAATTCCCCTGGCGGTGCGGTTGATCATGGGCGGCGATAGTCACTTAACATCAGGTGAGCCGCATGCTCGTTTGCCCACTCTTCTAAATAAAAAAATGTAAATGTCTTAAGAGGCGACAGAGGGAAACTAAAACAGGATATGGGCAGCAGCATCTTTCTTACATAACGCATAACGCAGTGTTGGTACCGACTTTGTTATATGGCAGCGAAACCTGGGTATGCCAGAAGAAGCATAAAAGCAAGTTGAATGGAGTGGAGATGCGATCTCTTCGTAAAATGTGTGGCGTTACCATAGCCGACCGAAAGCGAAACGAAGAGATTCGCAATATGGCAGGATTGAAGGATGACCTTATCACAAAAATTGATAGGTTCGTACTCCAATGGTTTGGGCACGTTGAACGAATGAGTGAAGACCGAATGGTGAAGAAAATATATAGAGCGAAAGTAAATATTAAAAGGTGTCGAGGTAGACCGAGACTAACTTTCGAAGACCATGTGAGCAAATTTCTCGAAGAGGGGAGGGTCAAGAGTACTCGGATACCTAGACGTGCATGTATGAAGAAGTTAATGAACCTGAAAGAAGCGAAAGAGGTATATAAGGATCGTGACACTTGGCGATCTGTTCTCTCTGGCTACACCGTTAGGGATTGTGCGTGAAGATAAGTAAGTAAGTAGCATCTTTCTTATAGAAACCGAAAATAATCAAAGAACGGCGGTGAAGGAGGAGGAGAGAGGTTTATGTTCTGCTAGCTTTTGGTGGCCTGTTATGAATGAATGAATGGATGAAAATTAAATTTTTTTGCGGGATATAAACGATAGTCGATTATTCGAGTTATAAGGCCGGGCCATTGCCACTACGGCTTCTGGTCCGTTTGGCTTTTCCGGGTAATCTGGTTCTATTTTTAATTTCTCGAACTTTTTAAGTATGTATAATCGATCTTCGCACTTTTTGATTATCTAAATTTTATTTTATTAAACTCTAAAGAGAAAGTATTAACCGCAATCACTAGCGCAAAGATTGGTATTCGGCGATCTCAGCAGCTGTAGTATTGGATTCTGTTACACCTACTCAACGCAAATGAAATACATTAATCGCACTAATATTTTATTTAACAATAGATTTTGACTCCTATTCGAGAATATTAATAAGACGTACATTCTCTTTAATATGCTTCACTGAAGTCTAAGGAACATGAAAGTAATAGATTCTATCAAAACTATACAATCAAATCCAATCCAATTACGAAAAGGCTGTTTATTTAGGGCCTTTGTAAACGTAAATACCTTAATATATTCGGGGTACGCACTTTGAATACTTTTCTATGCGAATGATGTCTTTGTGTTTACAAAATCGCCTTCAGAAAATCGTTTCAGGAAAATTAACGCGTCACCTTGGCGAACGATTTTTTAAAGTAGGTACGCAAATCTGAACATGCCTCCTATATAGGTATTAGTATACACCGAGTCTTATATGAGTTTTTTTAAAAACATCTTTAGTATTAAATCTGAAGGTAATATTGGAAGAATCCCTCTCAAGTCTCGTCCCATAAGTGTTAAAATAGGCGAAAGAAAAATGAAAATCAACATATTATATACAATATAATATAATAAAATGGAAGTAAAATTGTCTTATTTCTCTAGTATATAATTATATTCTATGATCTTATCACATAACACAACTAAATTGGAGTGTATAAATAAGGGTGTATTATTCTGTTGACCTCATATTATACATGCCTGTGTCGTGAGGGCCAGCTACGAACTATTTTTCACACATGGCTTTCATGAACTGATAGTGGTACGACGTCCGATTAATACGAGTAGGTTACGTAAGCTTTTTAAAAAAAGTATTCTATTTACTTAAAAGTTGGTTGTTCTTTTTCATCGTTAAAAGTGATTTTAAGTTATATATTTAGTTTTATGTTATATTTATAAAAGCAAATAACTATTAGTAAAACAGTAAATAGTTAATAAACAAAATATTGATTTCTTATATTTACGCGAACACTACACATGATTAAAACTACTTTTACGGATTTTATCGCGTTTATTTTTGCTTTTAATTACTTTTATTTTTAATTTTATTTTTAATTCCTGACGTTTCGGGCGCTTTCCAGCGCCAGTGACCATGGGTGCTGGCAAGCGCCCGAAACGTCGGGAATTAAAAATAAAAGTAATTAAAAGCAAAAATAAACGCGATAAAATCCGTAAAAGTAGTTCTAATCAAACAAAATATTTCTTTTATGAGATAGGGTGACAAACGAGCACACAGTCCACCTGATGGTAAGTGGTTGCTGTGGCCCATAGACTCCTACATGTATGTTATTTATATATACTAAAATATCATAAATTTATATAAAAATTAAAAACATCAATAGATGCATATGAATATAACATACTATGTTCATATATTTTATATAAGAAGATTCCAGATCAATATTTCGTTTTAATTAGGTTTTGTGACTATATACTCATTTTGTCATGGCTCTTTTGGCTTTCACCACTGATTTCGCTTTTATATCGTAATACGGAGTAGTAAACTTGAAATCTGATTAATTGCCCAAAACTAAATACTTTTCGTTACAACAAACTCTGAAGATGCCAGAGTAGACTTAAAAATAATTAAAAAAGGTGTTTTATATGAAGTTATCTAATATTTAATAGTCTACTGTCTAAGTAAAATGTACGGAAGATCTTATCCTATCGCTAAAAGGCGGAATAACTATCTTATATAAGCTAGATTAAAATTGTCTAAATTTACGACTAGATGTAAATTTAGATGAATTCATAATATTACGGCGTCGAAAGGAAAGATAAAGTTTCCATGCAATGGTGATTTTCTTGAGAGAGAATGAAACCCAGTAGCTGACTACTACTCATTAGGTGTCGAGGAAATATTAAACTCTCAACGTGCGTGTCCCCAGTGACGACTTATGGATCTGAGACGAGATCCCTCTCTGCTGGCCGAATGAGGAAGCTTAAGCAGTTATTTCAAAGAACAATGGAGGACTACGCTCGCAATTTCTCTACGTTATAAGATTTGTAATAAGAATATCCGCTGTAGAACCAAAGTAACTGGCAAAGCCCAACAGATCAGTGAGCTGGAGTGGAAATGGATTTGCCATATAGCTCGAAAAACTGACATTTGATGGGGAAGAAAGATTCTCGAGAGTAAGAGGCAGCCTTTTACGAGGGCGACACTGAAAGTTTTTAGTACTGGCCACTTTTAAACGATATAAAAAAAATTAGTTCAAATTTTGAAAATGAAACTCTTTGATAATATTATTGTGTATGTATTTTAGTTTTTTTTATTAATTTGTCATTTGTTTACGAATTGGCGGCAAATTGAAAATTGTCCGTACAATTATTTTTTTATTACTTTCGATATCATTTAAGTCAATAATAAAGTTATGGTAGACTTCGATTTTTTGAGTTTTATGAGTTTAAACGTGGTCGCACTAATCTCACCGATGAGCTGCGTAAGGGACGGCCTTCTAGGGCGACAACTGAAGATAACATCAGTGTTGTGCGGCGTATGATAGAGACTGACAAAGTGAATGACTTATCAGCAGATTCGGACAAGCTTAGGCGTCGGTATGAGTCAAGTGCACAAAATCCTCCATGAACATTTAGCGGCCAGCGGAAGCTTTGTGCACGGTGGATACCTCCTAATTTGACAGAGGCCCAAAAACTCCGTCGTATTGATTGGTATCGTGAAACGGTTCAAAGATTTAACGGAGGTGACTCAAATACTGTTTTCAACATGGGGTGACGAAAGCTGGATTTATTGTTATGATCTTGAAACTAAGAGACAGTCTGCTGTCTGTGTGTTTCCTTCCGAGGAATTGCCAACTAAAGTGAAGAGAGGTCGAAGTGGGAGAAAAAACATAGTGGCCTCGTTCTTCGGAAGGACAGGTCGTTACTCAAGGACAGGTCAATTGTTTTAGAGGATCGAAAAACAGTTACTACAGAGTAGTACACTAACAATTGTTTGCCAGTTACCTTGGAAAAAATTCGACAGAAGTTCGGAGGTACCCAAAACAAAAATGTTTTTTAAGATTTTATTCCACAGTTTTGTAGGCGTAATTACTATCCGTAACTATGCTATATTACAGATTTTTAGTAGCTATGGTCTCTGAGCAAAACCGCGGACGGAAGGACGAACGGACGTAGCGAAACTATAAGGGTTCCTTATTGTGTAACTACGGAACCCTAAAAAACTGCGATTCTCAAATGGGACAACTACGGAAAATGTCCTTTTTATGAGGAAGTTTATGGAGGAAACCTATGTTTAGCTTTGGACTTGTGCTAGGTTGAAAAAAATGAAAGGAAATTAAAAAAAGAAAATATTTAAGTTCAGTATCAGACGAGTAATATCCAGTATCGAGAGTCATAAATGTACTTAGCATTTACTTAATGGAAGTGGTAATTGTAGCTCATGGACATCTTTAATCAACTTCAAACAAAGAAGGCTTTGCAGCCGATAATTATACTGAAAGTTTTACACTAAACGAAAAAAGAATTAATTGGACAGATTAAAACAATCAAGTGCTACGTTCATTTAATTACACAACTGAAAGGGATCTCAAAGTTATGGAGTCTCTATGGAGAATAATTAGAATTTTGTCTCTTAAGACTGAGCGACAACATTATGAAATAGGCTTGAAGTCGATGGTTTCAGGTAGCTTAAGGCGAAGCTTTGTGATAATTATCTTTTAGGAAAAGTATCTGTTCAGCATCGGACTAGTTCTGCAATGGTGGTGATGAAATTTAGATAAAAAACTTGAAATCAAAGGTATTGTAACGTTGAGTAATGACCTTATAGAAATTTGTTAAACACGTACACAAGATAACATTTGGTATATTTATAGCACTAATAATTTTATTTTACCATCAGTTTTTCAAATACTTCGAAAAGTTAACTATTTAAATTTTTATAGCAAAATGGTTTACCGTACTACAGCGATTATCGCCCTACAACTTATTTTAATACAGGTAAATTAATTTAAATTTTACTGTCAGACTGAAGAAAACCCTGCAAAAGCTAAAGCCGCTTATTTAAATAATATAATTATCAATAACAATTAAATATTAAAATGATGATTTGAGATTGCTAAGACAAGCAAATCTATATGCAAAATTATAATTTTAGATTTTGTCAAATAATCATTTCTATTTTGGTCTTGTCTTTTAATACCCATCATAACAATGTTAAGTTTTTGCAAAATTATGAATAATTTGAGATTTTTATAGATATCTAAAATTGCTTTGTTAACTTAAAAATAATCTAAGAATAAACTAACAGTCTTTATACGTGTACGTTCCTGTGCTTTACAAAAATGTTTAATTTTATAATTTCTTAGACTTTACAGGTTTCCTCAGGAAGTTGCTATTTTATTTCATTTATATTGATTATGAAGTGAACAAAGTGACAAACGAACTTATAGTCCACCTGCTACTGCACTCGATGGACACCTGCAGCCAACTTAAAATAAAGAAAACAAAAGATGCCTTCCCTCTTAAAACTAACATAGAATACCTCATGGACTGTAATTATAATGGCTCTCTTTACCTTTTAGACCGGAACATAACAGCGCATGTTGTGCTATGTTCCGTTCTGCTTACTTTGCTATTTTGCAGCAGAAATAGTTAAGAGGATGATGATTATACCCAGACGGACCCCGAGACAAAAAAATCCTAATCCACTTGTTTTAAATGGATATATTACTCTAGCTAACGTTAAAATGTTTTAATACGTTAAAATTTTATACGTGGTAGAGCGATGCTGCAGTTGTATTAGTAGTATAGTTGTAGCACGAATGGGTCGACTCGAGGGAAAGGACCACGCTCTCACAGAATACCAGCGTGAAATACTCGTAGTAGCTTAACGCTGCTGTGTTTCGTATGGTGAGTGTAGAGACCGGAGACCCTTTTTACTGGAAACGAGGCATTGACAGGTGACAACGCTTCCGCATTTTGATTCGTAATCGAGTATAGATGTAGATGTCTAGGGGCCGCAGTAACTACTTACCATCAGGTGGAATGTGTGCTCGTTTGTCACCCTATCCTTTAAAAAAATGTACTATAACAAAATCTTATTAATTTAGTTTAATTTTGATTAGTTATTGTCGTTATCCAGAATTTACACAAATCTATGAGCCGTGGTAGCTCAGATGGTTAACGCTCGTTGTAAATATAACAGAACGCGAGTAACCCGGGTTCGATCCCCGCCGGTACCAATGAAATTGTTAATTGCAATTTTAAGTGCTGATTTGCCACGTGCTCGGCGGTGAATGAAAACATCGTGAGGAAACCTGCATGTCTGAGGAATAAGAAAAAAAAATATTTCGGAGACATGTGAAGTTCGCCAACACGCATTAGGGCAGCGCGGCGGACACTTCCTTGCCCTAAAACTCTCAGAAAAAGAGGGGAGGCCTGTGCCCAGCAGTGGGACTTATATAGGCTGTAACTTTACTTTACTTTTATGAAGCTCATTATTAGATTTCTTTTTACTCGTCCTCGAAATTCGCGGTTAAATATAATCATTTTGAAGTATATTGACGGTTTTTTTTTAAATAAATTATCGATATTATGTTTCACATTATATGCTACTTACTAGAAAAAAAGTTACAGGAAAATTGATATGTTTCATTTTTAGAAAATTGATCACGTTCTCCTGACTAATTTTATCGATAAATTCCGAAGTCAGAAGATGTTTGTTATTTATATACAGTTACAGCCTTTTAAAGTTCACCGCTGAACATAGGTTTCCCCGATAGATTTCCACATACGGTAATATTTTCCAAAGTTGCCGCGCTTTGTAAGCGAGCTGGTAATCGCAATTTTTTTTAGTCTATGAAGTATTATGAAGACGCTGCTGCCCGTCTCCTGATTTGTTTCCCTCTTTTGCCTCTTACGAAACCCACGGGATGATAAGCGATAGTATTTAGTTAACGGACACTCCAGGGTGTCCACTTGGTTGATTTTGTGGAGTAGGTCAAGCGTTAGTGGTATTTTTACACCGCCACTACACGGCACAATTCGTCGCTGACGCCGCAAATTTTTACATTACTTTTAACAATTTTAATCGCAATTTTTAAAAAAAAATTACAGGACAGCAAGAAAACATTTATTGTTTTCCGATTACTAGCTTTTTATTCATCAGAAAATTAAAAATATTAGATTTAATGGAAAACTACAAAATACGATTAGTTACGTTCGCCCCTTTGCGGCGTCAGCGACGAATTGTAAATGCTAATAACATTTAACGAGCAATTCTTATATATATATATATATATATATATATATATATATATATATATATATATATATATATATATAATCGTAATCTCGGAAACGGCTCCAACGATTTTCATAAAATTTTGTGTGCAGGCAGTTTCGGGGGGCAATAAATCGATCTAGCTAGGATTTATTTTTAGAAAATGTCTTTTTGTCCGTGTTTTTAAGCAATGAAAAACTACTACAATATCATTAGAATAAGAAGGTAAATTTTGACAGTTGATGTTAAGTGACAAATAGCTTAATTGGTATATTGGGCGGTTACAAAATCGTAATACCATGGTTCGAGCCCTGTCCAACCGACCGACTTTTTTAATTTTTTTTTCAAGAACCTTTCTTTTTTGAGAAAATCTATTTTTTCGAGCCCTTTTTTTAGTATTTTTTAAAAACACGAAAATTTAAATTAAACTAACTGCACTAATGTTTTTTTATTCAAATAACCAGTTCAGTTTTTTCTATTATGTCGCTAAGATCAAAAAATATTATTAGTATTTCATGTAATTTGTATCTAAATATAATTTCCAAAACACACGAATTAAAAAAAACCGAGCGAAAAATACCGAGCAAAGCTCGGTCAACCGGGTACTGTTATTAATACGTCACTGCTAAAGCCGAACTTCGTATATATCTGGTTTTGACGGCTGGAACTATGTACATTTGGTTTTCCAGTTGGATAAACTAAGGTTTATTCCATTTATTTATGCCTAAAACTATGTTTTAACTTCGGTTAAAGCGGAGATAAGAATTAAAAATTTACGACCCCTATTAAATTGCACAAATATATCAAATAACATTTCAATTAATTTCTGCGACAGTTACCCCAAAGCCGCCAAAGTTTAACTAACAGCAATCATGTTATAGACGGCTAAACCAAGGTGTGTCCGAACTTCGGCATTTAGGCATATATGTAACATACAGGGTTATTTGGCAATATAGGCAAATAGTGAAGAAAAAATAATTGAAAAAAGTCTGTCCTTTTTATGTTTTAAATTCAAAATGAGTGGTAATGCATTATTTAAACTGATTTACCGGATACTTATTTGGGGTCTACTGGTAGGCAAAAACGTTGTTGCCCAAAGATCACATTCAATTTGAGATAATTTTAAATAAAAGTGGAACATCCACCAATAACAAACAACACAACTAGAGAGAAATATTATAGTGTCCCAAGTGTATACGGATACTCAAAGGCACTCACTCGTCCTTGATTGCGCCCAACATAATACTTATGGCATAGAGTTGAAGATAGACTAAGCTATAGTGCAGAAATACGATGAGACAGTGGATAATAGCAACATAACTCCATCCAAAAGCCTATAAATATGTTCCGTCTTCTGGCTGGGATTACAAATACTCAACCTAACAGTAAGGTTTATAAAAGCTATGCCCACCTGTATAGCAAGATACGACTGTAAAATATCCCATTAATAACTAACGACAAGCGACGAGCAGACGTTGGTTTTGCTATCGTAAAATTGTCTTTTTATTTAGTAAACACAAAGCAATTTTAATTCTGATATATTTTCTTATATTAAGAGGATAGAGTAAGTCAGCTCAAATTCTAATTTCGCCCCACTTCCCCGCGCGTCGTATGCTATGTACCGATATGTTTGTAATCACTAATACTGTAAGTAGAAAGGTCGTTAGACACTTATTTCGTTAGGTTTATCATATTTATGCCTATTTCTTAACGCCAAGCCAGCCGCTTCTTATTTTTATCACGGTTATTTCCCATTTTAATTTTACGTCGTACTGTTGCGTAATGTATATTCTGATCGTAAGCGACACAACTTCTCCCTTCAAAAGCCTAAGCGATACTAACGGTGCGACAGGAATCAAGCTCAAGACGCCGATAGTCTAGGTAATTTCTTTTTACAGTGAAAATAATGGTATTATAAAAAAAGTAAATAACATAAGCACTGCTTTATAGTTAGTTCAGTTAATATGCAAAGTTCCATGATCTTATTTAAAGTATTTTATGAATAACAGCGGTTTATTGTTTATTTTGGAGGTAACTTTGGATTTTTTTTCTATCGAGAAAATTTTACGAAATCGTGTTTTCGTCTAACATAATCATTAACATTAATCCTCAACTTTACCATATATTTATTTCAAAATTAATGCTGCAATATTTTCGGCATAACGAAGGATCTTGCTAAGCCATTTGACATTATATTTCCCCTTAAGCGCGTACAATTTCTCTTGCGAATGAATGTTTGTTTTTAGTACCGTAGGGACGTTGCAAACTTTGATATATATCTCTTGTTCTCGAAATTGCTTCTATCTCACTTATTACTATGACATTCAAGGGTTCAGTGAAATGCTATTGATTATATTATTGCTAATTCCGGGATTCTATATTTAAAAAACGGTTTGTTTTCCCATACGAGCTGTTTTACAGTACATAAAGTGCATTGAACACCCCCTTTTTTAAATCAAATTTTGGTTCAAAAACTTACAAGCCGCTTAAAGTTGTTTTAATCTTAAGTTGTGCAATGGACAGCTATTAATAAAAACTGTTTACACATGTACCACGTACGTAATAAAATGGGTAGTTACGGAAACCGAAACTTATTTCAATAGAAAATTTATTATTTTTATAAAGTTATCTACTAGTCTAAATTTAAATAAGGTTTCGATCAAGCTATTAAACTCAAATCTATTACGAAAGTATTTAAAAAATACATAAAAATAATACGTATATTGGAACCCTTCCTTTGGGTACTTAACTTGTGATTACTTAACTTTCTTGCCTTGCCTTGCTTCTTCTGACAAGGTCTCCCGTAGTAGAGACTTGTTGAAGCGATGACTTATTTTGTTTTAATTTTCAAAAAGTGCTATGTAAAGGCTAATTTTAAATAGTAATATTTTATCTTAAACTTTATTGATTAAAACCAATACAATTCCTTGCAGAATGCATTCAGTCAATGTATCAACCGAGTGCTGCCGAACTGTGGACAAAACATAATTCCTGAGGTAGTGATAAATACTCCAACTACGGCACCATTGATACTGGATAGACCGCTGGAACTCGCACCAGTTATTATCCAGGACAGCAGCGTAGCGAATAGTTTGGCTAATGCTCTGCAGTTGCTCGTAGTGAGCAATTTATTGAGCAACACGTTGCCTAATCCCTGCTGTGAGGTTCTAGCACCTGCATTTACACCTGTAGAGATCGCTCCTAATTACGTACCAATCGAAGTCATCGGAGGTAGCTTTAATCCTTTCCCCTCGCCATGTAATTGTATGCCCAGCTACAATTTTATATACTAGATAATTTTAACAATATTTCCTTACAATGACTTGACTTTACAGGAAACTGCTCGTTTATATGTTTGTAGTTAAAATAATTATTAACCTAATTTAAATAAATGACTTAAAATTGATCACTGTTTTAATAAACATCTTATAGAACTCAATTAAGTGTCAATTAAGCACTTGATTATCTGTCCACGTCAGATATGGTATGAAAATTATTATAGTCTTTCATTTTATTGTCAGTAATTACAAAATATTGAAGGCAGAAGATTTGAGTACTCATTTACCTTTGCAAGTCATTTGTCAGACAATCGTTAATAATATAAAGGTTTTACTTTTGAAGCAAATTAATCAAAAAGATACGATAAAAATTATAACATGTAGTTTTATTTAAAATTCGTACTAATTTTACGTGCTTATGTAAAAAAGAATCTGGTCTGTGAAAATTTAGTTGCACCCTCCTTTCTGCCAAGGAGGGTCGCGTCCGTATACAGCTTAGAGATCTCTAGTTAGACCGTTAAGCCAGTCGCTAAAAGATGGGGTTTAGTGGGTAAAAGTCTCCACATAACCACGCAGCCGGCTGCGTGGTATGCTATGAGCATTCCCCACCTCCCTCCACCGCTTTCCGGAGGGTTGCCCATATGTGCTTCGGGCGCAAAAAAAAATTAAAATTTAGCTTGTTTTAATACAAATTTCTTTAGTTTACTAAGAAATATTATAATTTATTTTGAATTTTAGATTAAGTGAACTAAATATACAGTAAACATATCGTAAACGTAACATATCCAATAAAATTACACTATCTACACGTAACAGCTGCACTTAAGTGTTGGTTATTTTTATCAAAAGCTTTAAAGCAAAAAAAGAAAACAAATATTCTCTTCATTCAGATGATCACGTAAATGTTTATTCTGTATATAATAATAAATACATTCCCGACATTAATGACTTATATAATTTCAGACTAAAGATTTTTTATGCACTTAGCATTAAAAAATCTTAAACAATAGAAACACTGACATGTGACTTTTTTATAATACACGCCCCTGATGGTACGTGGTTGCTGGGGCCCATAGACATCTACATGTATCCTCAATTACAAATCAAAGTGCAGATGAAAATGCAGCGTTGTCACCCGTGAGGACCAAGATAGAATGCCTCGTTTCCAGTAAAAAGGGTCTCCGGTTCTCTACACTCACCATACGAAACACAGCAGCATTAAGTTGCTATTTCACGCTGGTATTCTGTGAGAGCGTGGTCCTTCCCCGGTCGAGCCGACCCATTCGTGCTACAACTATACTACTAATATAACTTCAGCATGGCTCTACCACGTATAGACTTTACAATCACAGACTCACCAACCAATATCAACTATGTTTAGGATCAAGAATCGTTACAATTTCATTGACTGATATTTGTATTAATAAAACTTGAAAAAATCCAAATATATCCAAATTAAATTGTGTAGCGGATAATTTAATATATTCCTTGAAGATAATAGTAAATAATTCAATTTAATTTATTTAACAACATTCAAATGTAAGCAAATTTAAAAAGACCGTCAAAAACTAAACTAAAATATTAAATTATCATACAATCCTACTCCCGCGATATAGTGTCAGAACACATACTGTGTTTCCTCGCTGAATGGCTATACTAAACCTTTGAGTAAGAAAAGAACCGGTTTTCTTATTACCAGCAGTGACGATCAGTCACGGATACAGTTTCTCTAGAAACTTCACCGTAAGTGAACTCCATGGACCAAAAGTCTTTAAGCACACAACTATGTAGTCATTACTTAGTGACTCGTATTTGCACCATAGTAATGCCCAGATACTCAAAAGCTGCATAACTTTAAGATGACGTTAGTCTAGTGCTGTCTTTATCATTTTAAGTCAAAATACTAGCGTAAAGCAGTGGCTTAATGCTGCTGTGTTTCGTGATTGAGTTTAGAGAACCAGAGACTCTTTTTACTGGAAACGAGGCATTCCATCTTAGTCCTCACGGGTGGCAACGCATCTGCGTTTTGATTCGTAATCGGGGATGGATGCAGATGTCAATGGGCCACAGTATCCACTTACCATCAGGTGGACTGTGTGCTCGTTTGTCACCCTATCTTATAAAAAAGTGACTGTGACACCACGAGACTTAAAGACATCTTAAAATTGAAAAGCGTTTGAGTATTTTGCCATAAGTAAACTAAATTTAAACTTATTTCTGAGAGGGTAAAGAGTAACTAGTCCGCTGCTATGCGCCAGTGCATGTTAGCAGTCTTTACATGTCTTCAAAATTTGGCAACGCACCTGCTATTCCCGTGGCGTTGCGGTTGTTCATGGGCGACGGTAGTCACTTAACATCAGGTGAACCGTATGCTCGTTTGCCCCCTCTTCTATAAAAGAAAATATTTTTATTCCTCAGAAGAGCAGGTTTCCTTATGATGTTTTTTTTTCTTTCACTACCGGGCTCGTGGTAAAACAACACTTAAAATTTTAATTGATAGTTTTATCAGTGCTGTGAAATTTACGCCGGGCGTGTAACAGATGGTCGCCTTCCCGGTGATGGAAAAAGTTGCCGGATTCAAATGTGTGTGTAAGAGTATCTATGTAAACATGTAAACATCTCATAACTTTGTAATGGAGTGTCTGACCGAAAAACCGTTTACGGCATCTTCGGCGGTTTCGCTAAACTTAAAATTACCCTGTGAATTTAGACCGAATGGGCACGGTAGATTCTGAAAAGAACAACAACAATTGAAATGAGATTCTAATTTTCAAAAAATGTTTTTTTCTTTGGAATTACTTCGACACCCTTTTCTTCGTCAATTCTTTCATCTAATCAGCTCTTCTAGTCTAAAAATGACGGTAATCCGTCAAAAAATGACGGATTACTGCAAACCAGATGATTCTTTCGTAATCCCTGTCGAAAGAAATTTCGAAAAAGTGTTAATTTTAAAGTAACTCGATTTTTTTAATAACATTTGTTTGAAATTAAAAAAAAATTGAAAGTTGAAATTAGCTGGAAGTTGCAGGGTCAACCGTTTTTTTTTTCTGTCATTCCTCACAGGGAAATAATAGTTTTATTTTTATTTTCATATTTTGTTCAGGAAGACGATGCTGCCCATCTCCTGATCATTTCCCTGTCTCAATATTCTTAAACTGATACTAAACGGTATAACAGTATACACTTTTACGTTGACTTAACCAATAGATTTCATAACTATCATTTATTTGCAACTAATAAATTTGTGTTTGCGCTCCTTCGCTTCATCCTTAACAAAACATTGCGATTGTGTAATTCTGTTGGGAGTCATTGTTGGTTTCGTTTCGAAGTTTGACGTTTAATTTGGATTGAAATTCTTACTTAAAATATGACCTTAAGACATTAGTCTTACTATTTTAAGCTGGAACGTTTTAATATAAGGACAAAACTAAACGTAGTGAACTAATTGCGGAGTGATTGGCACCGATAAATGTTTGAATAGGTAGGAAATAATATACTTATTAATAATATAACATAATAAATATACGCACTACTATTGTGACTACAACGTTAACCAAAATAGTTTAGAACATTTTTGTATAGTATGCATTTTTGTTGTTATTAAGATAGACTTACCTTCATAAATTATTTAATGAGTGAGAAAATGGGTTTTTATATGAATTTTATTCTTTTTATTTCATATGAGTATGATTATTGCTAGTAGCAAGATAAGTCGTGTGAATACAAAAAGGTAGTAAAACAATTTTTGTTCCAAATTGGAAAGCCGTTCTTATCCTGAAATTCAATTTCGTAGGAGCTGCCTTACGTGATGCGAAAGAATTACGGTGAATTTAAATACAAGTATATTATATTGTCAGAATGAACTGAAACATTTAGGCTTCACCTTGTCCATTGCGGGTATTTTAAAATAGCAATAATACATTACTAGATTAAAACACTATTGTTTTTATATTATAACCTACAAAAAAATTGTTATTATAATATTCTGATTGAGTTATTAGAATTATTTTTACTAGACTAAATATATTAGTACATCCTGTAAGCCAAGTCATGCGCACTTTTGATCGTACAATACCTACCTTACGTCCGCCAAGCAGTGATCTAATTTGATCAGAATTATGTAAACATGTGTACCTATGAAAAAACTATTTTTTCGTTTTAAACAAAACCAAAGACACTATGCAATAGATAATAGTATCAAAGACAAAGATATGCTCTTTTATTTTAAACCATAACCTGGCAATGTTTCTTAGAAAAAAAAAAGAAATCACTCTGAACTTTCGGCGTTCCACGTGCATTTTTGATGAAGGTGCTCCGTCTTTTTTATAGAATTTTATATTTGTGTCTGGACTAAAAACGAAAGTATTATACTTTTTTATATTCCTTGTAATATAGTGAACACATATATATATAATTTGTGGTATAAAAAGTGAAAAGTAAATTGCCAAAAGTGCTTCAAAATCTGGAAGGCCCATTATGGCGGCTGGGTCATAAATGTGTTATTTTTCAAATTCTCATTTATTTTTAGTGTAAAATGTAAGTAAAAATAGTTTTCTTACATATTTCAAATAACTTGACGTTGTATTTATTTCAAATTCACACAAAACTATTTTAGAAATATTGTTCTAAATGTCACACAGATAAAATATTATTATTTTATTTTTTAATTTCTTTATATTTTAATATTTTGGTATGAGTAACGAATGGAAACACATAAAACATAAAAATATACATATTTCCAAACATTTTCATATAAATTTCTCTAAAAACAAAAGTGTAGAATTCAAATTAGTAGTAATTTTGTCACTAAAATTGAAGTATATACCACTATACAGCTATACAGGGTAATTTACGTATTTTATTACAATTTCTAGCAACCAAAAATAATTTTATTCGATAGTTTATACATTCAATAAGAATTCCTGTAAGTTTTATCCGTAAATATTGTCTCAA